ATGTTTCCTAAGAGAGATCGCATTTTTTAAGAAGCACCTTTCAGCATTGTACGAATGCATCTTGAATTCACCAATGATTTGAAGTATCTTCAGATACACAAATCACAAAAAAAATTAAAGTAATATTTAAAAACCCACGAACACTTTCCCCAACATAAACAAGATACCATAGGTTCTGTGTCAAATTCAAAGAAATTTAATTTAATAAACTTGGTAAAATGTTCTGTAAAAATTATAAGTACAATGTGTCCTCATAAGTTGACAACCCCTAGATCGTTTATTTCAAATAAATTGTGAAAGCGACCAACACAAAATTGTTTAATTTCACTAAAATTTTTTAGATCTGAATTTAAAATAAAAATATAAAACACGGATATGTCAAAATTTGACCTAAAGTCCTATATATTTTTAGATATACCAATATAATTTTTTTCCTAATTTCAAAAATGAATATTTTTCCTATATTTGCATTAGCCGTTTGTCTATATTAGGAACGTTTAAAAATTATCTATAAATAGCAACAAAGTAGCCTTGAAATTCATCACATCCCATAACGTTCGCCCGGTAGCACAAGCAAGTTGGTCGAGCGGGTCCTATCCAATGGCCTCCAAATAGCCCCGCCCTAACGCCTCTTGATTGCTTTGTCTGGGGTTATTTAAATAATATTGTGTATGAGAGTCTAGTTAGACGCCTTAAAATAGTGGATGCATATTAATATTAATCATATCCAATATATTCAAAACGTTATCGATAAAATTCAAGTAGATTATAGAGCATAAAGTCTAGCATTAAACGGAGGTCATGTACAAAATCAGTGATTTTAATGATTTTGTTTTGACATTTATAGCATTTTTGTGTCATTTCAGCCATACATACTCAGCTCATACTTTAGTTTGTTGTTATTTAAATTTTTTAAAACATAATACAGAAAAAACGGCTAAACAAATCTAGTCAATATACACACTGATTCAAAATTGGCGTCATTCCTTTTAAGGGGTAATAGGGGCTCACTTGGAAGCTACGAGTAAAATATTAAATTTTTATTTTCGATAATTTCTAGAAGATATTAACAGTTGAAAATCGAATTTCAACTTTGTTATTAAGCATTATTTTGAAAGTGTTCCATGTTTAATTGGAAGCATATTGGAATACTTAAGCATTCAAATAGAAAAATTACGATCTTTGCTTGAAATTCCGAAAGTTTTTTATATTGAAAGTTCTCTTTTTCAATATTTTTATTAATTTTTAATTTTATTAATTTTAATATATTATATTAATTTTTTGATAAAAAATCAAAGCGGCAATGATGTTTTTACGTAAGGGTATGTAAGTAACGAGGTATTTACGTAATGTTAATTAGGCAGATTACCTTGAAAAACATTGTTGCCGTTTCTCTAATATAGTTTTTTGCAAATTTATGAGTTTTTAATAACAATGAATTTTTTTCACTATTTTTTTGTACTCCTAAAACGGCGCCAGACAACACCTCCAGAGGAATGACGCCAATTTTAAATCACCCTGTATATATTTCTGAAATCGGGTTAAAAATCCAATCTACCTGTCTAAAATATATAGGATTTTTCATTAAAAAAGACTTTGTCAAATTGTGACATTTCCGTGCTTTACACCTTTTTTTAAATTAAGAATTAAAAATATTGTGTAAAATTAAACAACTTTCGTGTTGGCCACTTTCACAATTTACTTGAAATAAACGATCTAGGTGGGGTCAAACGCTCATAGTCAACTTACGAGGAAACACCCTGTATTTAGTCTTTCAAAGAACACCTATTCAAATATTAATGCAAAATATATTCTAATGTTTTACCTTTATAGAGGCAAAGGGGTTGTGATCCATATACCAAGAAATTACTTTCGTCACAGAATAAAATATATCTATACAAAAAAGGTTTTGAACGATCGAATCAAAAATTCTTCAAGACTAAATTGTATTAATGAAACTGAATGTGAAAAAATTGGTGAAAAGTATTCGATAGCAAACATGAGCGCTTGAGAGAGACTAGAGAGTGAACATGAGAGACTGTATTATATCTTTGACATACATAAATTAACCCAAACACGAAATTTTGCAAAGCTTCACAAACAATTAAGTACAAATCTCAAAACAATTGTAGACTGTGAATCAGAAATTTCAATTGTCAGGCCACACAGCTCTACAAGACACAACAGAAACATTTAAGACTAGTTTTTAATAAGATAAGTTGATTTCAACTGAAATTGAAAAAGGAGTGTAAACAGTAGCACTCACCAATTCGGTAAAAGTAACGTCTTTCCCATATAGATTTTAGAGCGTAATACATAAAAAAAACCCAGAAGTATGTCATTTTCCTTATCAAACGAGAGATCCACGTTACTGAACGGAGCACCCACCACATGACTGGGAAAAACCAAAATCCCCTAGTCAGACCAAAATAAATTAAAGCAGCAACAATAATATGTCTTATCTTTTGAATAACTCGTTAAAGATAACGATATGCCAATTTGCGAAGCAAATCATCAGTAGGATGTTACATGGAGGGCTGGAAATGCAACTTGAAATTCACTTCGGTATTGCTTACTTAAATGGTTTTTAATCAATTAGTTTAATCATCGGTTAGATATTTTAAGTTTTTTAGAAAGGGTTTTTAGTTATTGGAAACAATGCCAATTATTGTAAGAGTTTGACTAAGTATGACAACTATTTTGTTCATAAATATAGTCATTTAATTTTAGGCCTTTTCCCAGATTTTTGTCTAAGATGTGACTAATTGATATCTTCAACCAGGGATCGGAGAAAAACATCAATGTTTCTCAAACATCGATGTTCGATATTTTTACCATCGATGTTGGAAATTTGGCACATCGATAGGACTTGATAAAACATCGATGTTAGATCCTGAAATGAAAACATCGGACATTTGATGTTGATACTAGATAGAAACATTTTCTGCGAACTCTTTGATTGTGCCGATACAAACGATATTCGATGTTTTCCTAACATCGATATTACCTTTCGATGTCAACATCGATGGTTACCATCGATGTTAGAGGATCGATGTCCCATCCCGATTTTCAACTAAATTTTTGCTGGTACGAGAAACCTTAATACAGTTGATGTGTGAGCGTTATCAAAACTGATCCCCAGTTAGAACTGAAATTTGCTGATCAATATTTGTAAATCCTCTACTTAACTTCCGACTTGATAATCTCCTGTAAACGTGCCTAATTTGTGATTAGTTGGTGACCAACTGCAACAGTAGCACGAATACAGCGTCTTCTCGAGCTGAATTAGGTATTCTGAAAGTTCAATTGTATTCAATCAGCAACACGATTTTTTCAGCAACCAATGTATTCAATCAGCAACACAGTTGTTGAGCTCGGAGTCTTAAGTTTGTTTCTTTTTCAACTTCTCAAGGCATTGTCGTTTAAGTTTTTAAAGTATGTTTATTTTTAAAATTGTTTTACTGCAAATTTGCGATGTAAATTTCAATTCCTTAAAATCGTCTAATATTTTAGAGGGTGTTTTCATTAACAAGCAGCACATTCCAAAGCAGCACTGACTAATGACCTGTGAAGAATTTCAAAAAAATTATCAATCGATTCTTGCTTATTATTAACTTAGTCTATTAAAAATGGCTCCAGTACGCTTTTGTGAATGTCACTTGAACATTATTTAATTTTTTTCATAAGCGAATAATTGTGGTCAATAATTATCGTGACAAACAAATACTTGATTAGTTCTTAAAAGATTAGATGATAACAGATTGAACCTCTAGTCTGAGAGTCAGTTTGTTCTAAATTGCATATATTAAACGAGCTACATATCCAACTAGTGAATTCTGGATAATTAATAAAACGTTTCTTGAAATTTCATTGCAGTACACGCATAACAATGTAAATATAAAAGTGTTTTTCATGCGGGTTAAATTGATTTAAATTAGTGTTGAGGGAAGATACTAGATGTTATTCAGTCATCTCAATGTCGCCAAGTCTAGTTTGATTTGCTTTTAATTTCTGATCCAGCTTAGCGTAGATATCGCGAATGTAGCTGTACACTTCTTTAGTTTCAGATACTAGTTGTGTGCTTTTTTTGATGTCTTCTGACATACGGTCCAATATCTCTTCTAACTTCATCAAGCTCTTCTCAATATAGTTATATTGGTTACTTGCTTGCAGTTCTTCAAAATTGTCTATTTCATTCAAAAGCGGTTCTGCCTTTCTACGAACTTCATTCAGTCGGTTTCTCACCTCCTGTTCACGGTCACTCGTTCCAACGGCTACAGAAATATCACTTTTACGCTTCTTTGATGATACAGATTTTCGAAGTCGCCTTTTGACTGGTTTTTTTGAATTTTGCTTGCTGTTCCTCTTGATCGTTGAATCGTTATCTAGTGAATAATAATACGTTATTAGCAAGTCTGGGAACAGCGTACTAATCATATTAAGTATTGTTACAAATCAAACGAAATATATTTAACAGTAGACTCTCGAGGAAATTCAAGCACATATTGAAATACACTAATATTCCTATTGATATTACCCTTAAAATAAATGAAAACCATAAGCTAAGACTAATACAAGTATATGGACCCACATCCACCTATTCAGACGAAGACACAGAACTAATATACGAAGGCATAAGATTGGCAAGAGAACAGAGCAAATGTAAATATGAAATAGTTATGGGAGACTTCAACGCCATACAGGGAAAGCAAGGATCGGCCAAGGAAGAATATATAGGAAAGTATGGATTTGGCACTAGAAATCAGAGGGGTAATATGATGACGATATGATATTGTATGCCACAAGCACCTTCTTTAACAAAATAACACCAAAGAAGATGGACCTGGATCAGCCCAAACGGAGCGACAAAGGATGAAATAGACTACATACTTTCTTCTTCCAAATCAATAATTCAAGACGTAACAGTTCTGAACTTGTTCAATACAGGGAGTGACCCTAGATTGGTGAGAGACAAAATGATCCTAGAAAAAACAAGCTTCAGGGAATACGGAAGAACCAAACAAAAAATAGTAGACGAGGAAATGCTCCATCAAAACAGGGAAGCGTACAAGGGAAAACTACAGAGCCACATAAACAACCTAATGAAAACAGACGACATCAACGAAGTAGCATCCGACATAACAGGGGTAATGAGAAAAGTAGCAAATGAAGTAGCGGAAAGAAAGTCAAGAAAAACAAACAAAAAATCATGCGAAACCAAACTAAAGAAACAGAAGAAAGAGGAACTCTGTATACAAATGGTTTATACGCACCGGAATAATACCAACATGTCAGAAAAGAGGCAAGGAGAATGATAAGAAAGGATAAGGAAGAGAACTATAGATTACTGGCAGAGAAGGTGATTGAAGAAAACAAAAACCTCTAAAGGACTAAAAAGTTCTAAAATTAAAGAAATAGCCCATTAGTTCTATCAAGACCGTTACTCACCAAGAACAGAAAGGCCTCCAGGAAACCAAAAGAAAAGTAGTCAGAAATAAATGTAGGCTCAGACGAAATGTCAGAGGTGAACGAGGAAGAAATTATACATGCTATAAATTCAATGAAGAAAAACAAGTCACCAGGAGGAGATTATATAATCGCGGAAATGATCAGAGAGGCACAAGAAATTGTCGTACCGCAGCTAAAGCACTTTTTCAACCTCTGTATAGAACAGCAAACAATAACCAAGAATTGAAATAGGCAATAATAGTTATATTATTTAAAAAAGAGATCGAATAATGCTGGAAAACTATAGACCCATTAGCTTGCTGTCTCAGATGTATACGCTTTTTACGCGGATCATAACCGGCAGAACAAGCCGCATTCCGCAAAGGATATAGCACTAATGACTCCTTACTTACAGTAATGATGATGATGTAGTATGATATATATATAAGATCATAATAGAAAAGTCGACCGAATATAACCTTCCGATACACATGAGATTCGTGGACTCCGCGAAGGCATTCGACTCCGTAGAACATTGGGCAATATTTGAAGAACTAGACAAAGCGCGAATAGACCATCGGTACAATAATCTTCTTAAAAATATATATCAATGAGCAAAGGTAAAAATAAGGCTACACAAAGGAACAGACAACATTGAGACCAAGAAAGGTATCAGATGCACTATGCCCAAAACTCTTTAACTTAGCTCTGGGAGGAATTTTCAAAAAGCTTGAATGGGGAAATATAGGACTGAACATAAATGGAGCGAAAATATCACACTTAAGATTTGCAGACGATATTGTTCTATTCGCCGACAACACAACACTTTGAAAGAATGCTTTCCGAACTAGACAGAGAATATTCAAAAATCGGACTAAAAATGAATAAAACAAAATCAAAGATAATGAGCCAACACCAAGTACAGACAACAGTCAATGGGCACATGTGGGAGAATGTCCAAGAATATGTATATCTGGGACAACAAATAGAGATGGGAAAGGGTAACAAGGAGATATATATTGAAAAGAGGAGGAGGCTAGGATGGGAGACGTTTGACAAATTAAACCATATACTTAAGGATAGAAAGATACCGCAATACCTTAGAACAAAGAACAAGAATATTTGGAGCACAGAATACTAATAGACAGAAAGGAAAACGAATGGATTAGACAGAGAATAAAAGTTAGTGGAATAATAAATATAGTGGAGAGAGTCATAATTTCGTTGCAGGATTGCAGGTTTTCATTCAATTTTATATTGAACCAGTTTATACAACAGTAAATTTTGAAACTTCATAATACAAATATCGTCAATTTTTTTAAAGTGAAGAAATTAGATAATTTGGTGTTATTTTGAGCAACACCAAAACTTATTCTCTAGTTTCTCGATTAATAGACTAGGTCTATCTAGTCTATTAAATACTGCAAGCTTACCTTTTTTCTCAAGATAACTGCATGATAATTTAGCAGATCTTCTGGCTCGTGCTTCTGGTTGGCTCACAACCCCTTCATTCGCCTCAGGCGCAGAACCTTCTTCATCAGTTTCAATTTTTGCATCTGGCTTGTTCGCTTTCAAGCTGGGACAGCGAATACCTCCAATTGATTAAATATATTCTGGTGAAAGTTATGGTATTTTTTCCTAATATTTATGCTTTTTGGATTACTGGTTCTTCATATTTCCAAGGAAATAATTTGTGACTCAACTGACGTGATCAAAAGCTTTTGGTAGAGACTCATGCTGAATAAATTCTTACAAAAATTTAGGTTTATTGGAATTTATGGAAAAACTGCGCGAACTCAAAAATACCAAATTATTACCTACCAATTATGCTCACACATAATTCTTGGATTTAACGACCTTTAACTGCCCTTTTTTGTTCTTCATTTAGTGTATTACATTAGTGTCGATTTATCAGCTACGGTTTTTGTGTTTTCAGAAATTCCTCGAATATTTAACTTCCACTTTAATAAAGCAGCAAACTGTGGTGATTTAAAATAAAATTAATTTGCTCAAAATATATATTTATGGCTTAGCAACTAGACGTGCTCATAAAAATCGGGTTTCATCATCATGGATCGAGATGGGAACCAATTAGCTAGAGCAAGTCACTTAAACTGCTCTATAAATCTTTATCCTAAATCACTCTCGAGTGAGATGCAATCAATAAAGGAATATTTTAATAGGCTGATAACATGAAGGTGGTTTTCTCTTAGATTTTAAGACAAACTATTTGATATTATTGAAATCTACTCAATGGTTTAAACTGTAATCAAAATAATTTACCTGTTCTCAACGATTCACGGAATGAAGGTAAGTCCGAAGAATCGGATAAAGCATCTTTGTCAGGACTGTCCAGGTTTCTATTTCTACCACGCATACTATTTCCCGATACGAAGAATTTGCATCAGAATATATATAATCAATATTTCTTGTTGAAAAAGCAAAAACTAAAATAAATACATGTTAAATCGATTAGGGGAACTGAAAAACGCTTCAGCACTTTATAACAACTGCTTTTTAAATTATAAACTAGGCTATTCATAATAGAAAATGGGATTTACCTGCTTAGATGCTAAAACTTGTGAAATTTACCATCACAACTTTTGTATTATTTCATAAAGTATCGAGGGTGTACTTTTTGGACTGTTATCATTAAATAGTTATCTTATCCGCTCAGACGTATATCAGTTTTGACGACAAGTTTATAAATATATATTAAACGAACAGTCGCGAAACCCGAAGTACTCAATATTTCTTATGTAAAATGTTAGTGCCAAAAGTCCTAAAATTGGGAGACTAAAAAAATAGTTACATCTAGATTAACAAAAATCTTATTCAAATTCGTAATTTTTGTTAACTTGTCCAACAATGCATTTTACAAGTTTTCATAAATGGGACTCTCGATTCGCTTGACTCACATGAAACATTTAATTCCAAAATATCTTTAAAAAAGTAATTCGATTTACAAATGCCATCATTTTGATGTCTTAAAATTACTAAAACGAGTCGATTTAAGTAATAAATCTATTTTCTTTTTTTCTTTTTTGTCATTTGCGCAGTATTTGGCTGTAGATTACTGTGCCGTAAAAATAAGCCTGTTTAAAAATAAATAGTCACTTATTTATTATCTGTAGCATCATTTTCTAATAAGCTGTTTGAGTTAATAGAGAACCCACGTTTTTAAATTAATCCTTTAGAAATAATATGAATAAAAGTAGTAAAACCGATCTTATCCAAGATACGAAAGGATTACATACTATGGCGCTAATTTTCTTATGAAGACTTCATAGTTACCGTTTGATGCTCTTGCTTTTAAAACATCCTGTATAATTAATAAAAATACTTGTGGTTGATAAAGGAGTTCAAATACCTATGTAATATTTATTAGAAAGAAATATTGAAACATGAGTTTTCAACCAGGAACCTCTAATATCAGCAAAAATGTTTATTTAGAAAATTGGATAAGATATGAACGGTTTACGTAGGTATAAGCACACTTTACTGTCCATAATTTTTTATGAATATTTTTATACATACATACGTATATTTCCCATAACACATAATTTACCATGGGTTTTTTAAGGTGAAATCTATTCTTTCAGTGCTCAACTAGCTGCAGCTCGCTGCGATCAAAGAACATCATGTGCAGGCCTGGAAGGATCAACAAGTCGCAAACTTCCACCTCCACTTTTGCGATCCAGAACTCTTCCAGCAATTGTTGTGCCTGGAGTCAACATTCTTCAGGCCCAACTGGGAAATTACGGACATGGAAATGGTAAATCCTCTAAAGATTACAATTAACACTAGAGGCAAAGGCCACTTCTTCGGCTGTGTGACTATTTAATCAACTTTCTAAGGAAATACGAGTCTTTATTTAATTCTTTATAGAAACGAATTCCCTGCAAATTCCAAAATCCAGCCTGTCAGCACGCCTATCAGTTGCCAGAATATCATTCAGCAGAGAGGATTCTGGCACTCTTGAAAGTCGCAGAAAATCGGCGATTAGCAGATTGTGTGTCAGCGGAAGTTATGGTACCGAGCGGTCTGAGGATGGGGGTTTAATTCTCAGGTAAATGAAAGCAGAATTATTTAAAACAGTTATGCTGCAAAGTAACATGAGTTCTCAAAATAAAAATACATAGACTTTTACATTTAGATCAATTAATTTCTGAAAATTAAGAGACCGCTGAGTGGCTCCAGGAGCATTTACTGCGTCAGTTTATTTTAACGTTAACTTTGGAGTCCAAAACCTATTGGTGACTAGGCAAAATCGTGCAACTTAATGCTTCCTGATTGGGCTTATTGGGGTGGGGCAAAGCCCTTAATGGATGACCTAATTAGGTATAAGAGCATTAATGAGAAGTGCTTCTGCTACATCTGGAAATTTAATTCTTCACACGTAAACATGCGAAATTCAGCTCTCAGCAAACCGGATTAAGAGGTCGCAGTCCGACCAAAATTATACAAAAATAGCGATGCACCTATTTAAAGGGTCTCTCAGGTGATTTTTAGCAAATGTTGATTAATTCCGATGTGATTATGTGTTTTTTAATGAGTTTTCTGGAATTTCCTTGAGGTAAAAATGATGCGCAGTTCGAAGCGTGCATACCCTTATGAACTTTTCAATGAAAAGACAAAATTGCATATGCCGGTTTTTTTTCCTGAATGGATTACTTTCGTCGTAAGAAACTGAATGCGTGTCTCGCGTCCTTTTCACTGAATTTTTGTTGAATTTCTCACTTCCGTGATATTAAAATGTTGTGCAACTCAAAGTATTTTAATTTTTTTTTTGTAAAAATGGTCGGTTTTTCCTATCAAATTTTCGGTCAAAAGCAAAAATTTTACCATCCGGATTTTTTAGCTTAGGTGACTACTTTCGACTTAAGATAATCTTCAATCTATGACGTTCTGACTCGTTTTTCTTCTTCTCGACTAATTAGGACCTAAAGGTTGCTTCGTACTTTTCAATGAGTTTGTTGGAATTTACTCTTGCTTGAAATGAAAACGATGTAGAACAAGTGCTTTCAGAGAATTCCTGTTTTTTAGCTTTAAAACGACTTAACTTGAACCGAAAATGTCGTTCAATTGGATCTAAAGTTTCTAGCCTGTTTTTCGATGAGCTCATTGGATTTCTCTCTCTCAGCAATTCGAGCAGGGATTTTTTTCCATTTTGGAAGTTTACGTATTTTCCAAAGCCAAAAAATCATGAATCATAAAAATCTAACAATTATTCTGCAAGTGTATGCAAGCTGCAGAGAAACTTTGCTTGAAATGGCATATTGAAAAATTTATTAAAATTTGTTCATGATCTTCGCACAATGTTACCGAACTATGATCAAATTTCGAATATATTTTGATGCAACAAATTACGTTTTCATATCTTCAAATCAATCTTATATCTATCAAATGTGGTGTTTTCACAAATTATTTTTTCAATTCTTAATTTAGTTTTGAAAAGTGCTTTCAAATGTAAATAAAACAAGTAATTTAAGGTGTTTAAAATATGGACTGCAATATTATACGTCTGGAATTCGAATCAAATAAACTAAGTACTCAAAAAACTGTTTAATTAAACAATTTGCTGTATTTTAAATGCTTTTTCAGACAAAATTTTCTTGAATTCTTCATTGCTGTTCAGAACCACGTCTGAATTCATTATTTTCTTATGTAATATAACTTCTTTGTTGTATTTCTCACTTATTTTTTAAAGTTTTGCTAAACACTCTCAGGACGACCCTGATGTAATTTTCTGGTCAAGCTGGTTAACACATATTAGTCTAGTTTCGAGGTTTTGACTTGCAAAATTCACATAATTCGATATTTTTTAGATCCGAGCTGTGTCTTAGTTGATATGATTTTAATTAGTTCTGTTTTCTGGTTAATTTTTCTGTTTTGTTTTCTGCTTCATATTTTGGATGTAAATTAACGGAGTCGGCAGTACTATCAACATTGTTAATGTTCTCTAGAATTATCGAATATTATATTTAATTTTTGCACACATTATCACCGCTGAACAATTTGAAACTTTAGTGTATTTGATGTTTCTATTTTTTCTTTGGAAAGTTTCAATTGGCTTCTCAATCTTTCGTTTTTACTTCATTCATTAACTCTCTAAGGGGTGAGGATATTCTGTTTTTAAGGCAAAACTTTGAGCCAAATTTCCAAGGAAAAATTTTTGTTGTTTCCTAATTTTCCAAAAACAAAGACAAAAACTTCAAAAAGTCTAAAACTTCGAAAGTCGAAAACAAGCAAAGAATCTAAACTGAAAAATATGTTTATATGTAATTGGTAATTGGCACCTAAAGTAACAAATTTTTAAACTGGAATAAAAACAGTTCAAAGAAAAGTTATTTAACTATTAAACTAAATTCGATTATTTTTATGAGAACATAAAACAGTATGAATTTTTTTCAGGGTGCCATCGCCGCATGTTGTAGCAGCGCGAGCTTATCGAATGCCAACTTCACCCCAACCAGGACCTTCTACAAGTGGAGCATTTTCAAAAATTAGCAAACTTCTTACGCCTGGAAGTTCAAAAAATCAAATGGTCATCGATGACTCAAATGTAATAAGAAGACTGAGCTGGGAGAGGTAAGCTGGCTATTAATTATTTAGTATTCTACAAAATGTTTTCGAAAAGCCTCACTGTTTTCCATGCAGAATATATCCTAGGTTCACATTAAAGGCGTACCTACTGAAAATCGTATATTTGACGAATTTTATGAATATACATATTACTAATATATTACCAAGAATCTGAACCCTGAAATAAAAAAATCACCAACTTATAAGAGGACAGTAAAATAACACTTTCTATGTCTATTCAATTAGATTTATTAATTATAGTCGCCTCAAACTTTCCAAATTTGTCACGCGTTGAGACCCATTTTTCAAATATTTGAGTGATATTAAAATTGTATTTCCCATTTCAAAGTTATTTCCATTAGTTTGTCAATATCAATCAAACCTTTGAACTTTTCATTTTATTTTTCACATAGTATCTTTCCCTGTTCAATGTCAAGGAGTTCATCAATCAGGAACCGAGCATCCAAGATAAATTGACCAGTTGATCAGTTCAGTTTATATGGCTTATTTTTGTCTTGAAACGCCAATTTCCGATATTTTCAAGACGTTCTTATGGCACCTAAAGACCTAAAATATTTAAAAGGTGTTTTAGGGATAAATCTGTCGATTAAATTTGTGGACTTTAAATAGATAGTTCAGGGAGCGTTATTTGGATTATGAAGAAGTATAAGAGACAGCAGACAGTCGTTTTTGATAAATTTAACACACACCTTTTATCAACTGATTAAATAATTAATTAATTAAATTATGAGTACAATCCCCCAAATATGTATTAAACAAAAGGAAAGTAAGACACAAAAATTTTTTTCATTTTAATCTCTACATCAGAAGACAGGAAATAAGCATTTCCCTTCTGGATAACCTGCTTTACGAAATGAGAACTTGTTTCGCGTCATGATTATTCTCCTTCTCGTCTCGAATTTAGATTAAATTACCCAACCATTAAAAAAAAGTGAAACACTATTAGCTTGGCGAAAAAAGCTGTTATTTATCCTTTATATTTAAAAAAACAAATTGAAAAATTGAGTAACGAAAGTTAATACCGCCTTATCAAACTTTCCACTTAGACGTCTACTTTAACAATATCAAGTTCCATGGCTTGTGAAAATAAACCCGGCCAAATCTTCTTTGATGAAATTATAGTCAAGTAACTTGCTAAAAGAAACTTAAGAAACTTCATCAT